TCTGTTTATCCGGGAAACGCAGAAAGTTTGTGCTTTCCCGCAGGGAAGCAGCCGGTCGCTCCTAGCCCGGGGGACCTGGCAGGGAGGTGTAGGACGTCCCCCCTACGGGTCGTGGCATGTTAGGATGCGGTGATGAAAAAAAAAAAAAAAAGCACTACGGTCTGGTTGTACTTTGGGTTTGAATCTCTGAAATGGGGATTTGCACTGAAATATTTGTGCAGCTGAGCAAACTCGAAGAGGAAAGTGCTGGGAGCAGGGGGAGGAGGGTGTTCAGATATCACCACTCGATTTCTCCCGCACCATAGTGCTGTAGCCAGGGGTGTTTGAGTCCTTCAGAAGGGGGATGGCCAGGGCAAATGCAGGCTAGGAGGGACACGGAGAGGTTTCAGGGTCTGTTGAGGGCAGGCAAGCCCTGCCCGGGACCAGGCAGGCTAAGAGCCTGGGAGGAGGAGCAGGGCAGGACAGCACCAAGGTGAGGACTAACCCTTGTTCTGCACCCCCATGTGCAGGGGACATCTGTGTACAACACGACAGGGCAAAGAGCTGGGGCTGACCCCATCCCCAGTCCTGTAGGGCAGAGCCAAGTACCCCATCATGCCTGTAGGACCTGGGTGGACAGGACCTGGACACTTACCAGCCCATGCTTCAGGTACGAGGTTGTTCCTCATCCCAGAGGGGACTTCACTTCTTCAGGCAGCCTCCTTTTATTCTCAGCCTGGCCTTTTGGTTGGACTCTGGCATCACCTTCCAAGGGCAGGTTACCCCAGGCTGATCCTCTGTCACCTCACGGAGATGGGGAAGAGGGACCTGCAGGACAGGGAGCCTCTCATGCAGCCAGGACAAGCAACACATGCCTTGGGACTCTGTAGATTTGTAACATCTCCTGTACATACGCACAAGTCACTGAAACAGCATTTAGAGCACTCAGGCTCCAAATCAATCCTCTCCTCCCATTTCAGCCTGCTGCCCCTTCCTCCCATCCCTTCCCCAGCCTTTGAGCTTGGCTCTGCTATCACCTTCCATCAGGGGACTGGCAGCTCAGCAAACCTTCCCCCAGAGCCTAAACTGCTGAAACGTCACTTCATAGACGAGAGCAGCATCTTTCCCAGGCATAAGGCAGCATTAAAATAATATCCTATAGTATCCCCTCCACACACTTTCCCTAAGCAAGCAGTGATCTTGCAGCATCACCCCACATATGTAGCACTACTTACCAGCAAATACAAACTCAATGCTTTGCTCTGAAAAATTTCATTTGCCCTCCCAAAGAGGCCCCAGAGGACCTCCAAGTTACCCAGGAGGCAGGAGAGGTCTCCACGTAGGAGACAAAGAAAATGAACTAGGGCAAATCCCCCACCCATATACATCGGCCCTGGCATCTAGTGATTTACACTGATTTACACCAGCTGGCTCTGGCCACATCAAATTCAATTTAAACCAGCTGAGGCTCTGGCACAGCCTGTGGGGTTGGGAGAAAAAGCAAAAGAAAGGGAAGGCAGAACAAGCATTGTGTTAGTAAAAGTATTGTCAGACCTGGGCTGTAGCTGGGTTTCTTGAGCTGCTAACCTGGTCCTAGGTTCACACCCTGGGAGCAAGCAGAAACTGTGGGGATGGGGTGCTGTTCTGTAGGGCTTGGGGGGCAGCTGGGTGGTGCCTCATTACCCACCAGCCTCCCTGGCTGGGAAACAGTGCTGGGATGGGTTTCTGGCAGGTCTGTAATCTCAGGCAGAGTGGAAATGTTATGGCAGTAGTGAAAGGATTGGGAAGCTCAGCTATGATTGGGGATGTTTCTGTGGGGAGAGGTTGCTGAAGTGAGTTGGGGTTTCTCTTGTGAGTGGTCTGGACTGAAGTCCAGAGCAATGGTTTCTATCTGATTGCTATTTCTTGGGGCTGGATCCCAGAAGCAGTGCTGTGGGGCTGGAAGAGTTTCTGCTCTCAGTGGGCTCTGCCAGCCTGGCTGGTGGTAGACCCCTTTGTAGATCCTGGGACTGAGCCATGGGGTATGCAGGTGGGAGCTGCTGTCCACCCCTGCCCATCACTAGTGCTCAGAGCCAGCTGCTTGCCAGCATCTGTTTGACTTAGATTTGGCCAGGAGAGGGGAGATCTGCAGCCAGAGCTCCCAAGTGTTGTCCCTGCTCAGTTGCTTGCTCCCTGCCTGCCCTTGGGTCAGCCTCTTCTGCAGATCAGCTACTGCATAGGGGCTGAGACGTAACAGCAGTGAAAAATATCTATAGAGCTCCAGGATTTTTGTGCCAGAGAACCATCATCAAGTTTATCATAACCACATTAGTGTCCAGAAAACATCGGCAATCTGCAGTTGAGCAGAATCATGCCAGCTGCCTGGCGAAGCAGTGTAATGGCTTGTCTCTTGTCAGTCCCCTGCCCCACTGAGAAGGGGAGGGAAAGCATCCCTGGGCTGTTAGGTTGCTGCATGCACATTTATTTCCCTTATAGACTTTTCCTTCAATGTTCATGGCCAGGAACATCTTACCAGTGAGTTGGATCAGGAATATTTCTGTTCCCTGGGCTCAGTGACACCAGGCAGCCACATCCCTCTGCATGGTGGCATCCTGCCACATAGGCATGGCTGGGACTTTGCTAGCGAATCTCCATCATCTGACCTACAGTTTTCATGCAATATCCACTCTTTTCTCAGTGCATTTCAAGTTTTACTTGATGTTCGTGTTAGATGAGAAAAGCAAAGGGGAGGTATGGGCTGCTGGAACCCCTCAGCTCCTGGTTTTCTAAGGCTGGGTTGTAGCTGGGCAGAGATCTCAGCTGGGACTCTTGGAGTAGGAAGGTGCCCCACTTCATATCATAGTTTTTGCCTTTGGCACTGGCTAGGTCATACTGAAAGAGCGTGAAGCCATGTATTACTGTGGGTGCTCTCCAGAGGAATGGGAGCAGCAGGCAGCAATGGGGCAGGAGAATGGTGCTGAGATGAGGTGACTCTGCCTGGCCATGTTGAGAGGGGCTGGGGCACGCATGGAACAGAGGTGTTGGCACTGAGGTGGTATCTGATGATATTGGGATGTGTCGGTGTTCAGCCCTCTGGGTTTCCTTCTCTTGTTGGTTCCTCTTCTGAAGCTGAAAAACAAGCTGCTGCTTGGCTTAGGCTGGGTTTGGCTCTGCTGCCAATGGGGAGGGTTGGATTTGGGGTCCATGAGACCTCCTGGAGCATGTCCTCTGCACCTGAGGAAGTTTGCCATGTTTCTGAACCCACCTCCCGTTCCAGGGACACCTCCTGTACTGAGGTTGGTGAGCTGAGAGAGGGCAGGGCACCCAGCGCACTTTGTCTGCAGACTTTGGTGCCCTCCTTGCCCAGGCTCTGAGCAGCCACCACTGGAGACCACCTCCTCCAGCACAGCCCTGTCCCAAAGCTGACTTCATACCACGGCCCCTGTGTATGCAGCAGAGCTGCAAACAAACAGAGCTATCGCCAGGAAATGCTGCAGCTGCTATAGCTGTGCAGCCACCTCCCAACTTTGTGCCTCAGTTTCCCCTCCCAGCCTGCTTAGTCTCAGCTTCTCTAGGAAAGAACTGCTTCTTGCAAGGGCTCTTTCAGTACATAAGAAATGGGACCTCAAGCCCTGGTGAAGCTGTGGCACATGCCACCCTGGTGTGTGACACAGCTGTGCTAGAGGGAGATGCTGCACAGCTTCTCCCCAGGGTTTCAGGTTATGGTCCACTGGAGAGCAGGGTGTTGCATGGGCAAGTGTGGTTCTGGTCTGGCACTGCCCATGTGGCCTGGGGCAGGATATGGGCACCCCGTATCTGATGGCCATGGGGTGCCAGTAGCGTCCCCCACCTTCCCAGCATCCCACACCGCTCGCAGAGCCCTGGGGCCCCACTGCGGCATTTCAGCAGATTTTCACACCTGGTCTCCAATGGTGGCTGCAGAGGAACGGTGGGCAGTTGGGAGAGAGGGACATGTCCAAAGACTATTGCTGTGCCAAGGCCTCCTGCTCCAGCCAGATGTGTCCCATTTTCCCTAAAATATGGGGTTTCTGTGGTGCTGTGGGCCTCTCTCTAGCATCCATAGGTGTTGAGGAGACGTGGGATGTGCATGGACAGCATGTCCACGAGCCAGCCCCAATCCTGGTAGCTGGCCTGGCCATGGTGCCACTGGGATGTTCCCAGCAGCGGGAACAGCGGTTCCCAGCCCGCACGATACCATCCGACCGCGTGATGCCATCCGGCTGCATTCCGCAGGGGAGCGGATCCCCGGGGAGCAGCAGCTACCGGAGCAGGGCTCGGCATCCCCGCAGCCGCCCGGGACCGTGGCCCGGCACCAGCCCCGGCAGCGCTGCCAGGCTGCCGTGCCGGCGCTGCCAGGCTGCGGTGCCAGCGCTCCCGCCTGCCCGCCGCGCCGGCCGCTGCGCCGCCCGAGCGAAGCCAGCGTGTCCCAGCAGTGGGGGCCCATTAGAAATGAAATGTTCCTACTGGGGTATTTTATTTGCACACTTCAGTAGAGTGGACACCAAAAGGCTTTGCTAATGCTTCATGGGCTGCTAATTTCCTCTCTGACCCGCATTGTCGCAGGGTGACCCCAGCCCGAATCTCTCGGCAATGAATGCCAAAGGCTGACACTGGCCCGGGTTAGGGGTGACAATGGGGCCTCTGTGGGCTCCGGGCAGGCTCCAGTTGGGAGCTGGAGAACAGGGGGAATTTGTGTGGCTCTCAAAAGCTCTGGGTGGCACAATAAGGGAGGCCCCTGGGGTCTCCCAGGAAGACAGAGGCGGCCCAGGGAAGCTGGGCTGGGGGAGGCGGGCGGGAGGATGGTTTCCTTTGTGAAAAGCTTTCTTTAGAAAGGAAGGTTTTTCTGAATGCCCCCTTAGACGACCCAATCGGGGCCTGGCAGATGGATATCACAGGCACGCTGCTTATTCATGGCAGGCTGCAGCTTTGAGCCGTCCCCCCCCTTCCCCCAGCCTTTTATTCATTTTAAGGCTAATTTGTTTTGTTAATGTTTTCTTGCCCTCCCCCTCTCTCCTGTGCAGATTGTGACTCATACTGCAAAGCTTCCAAGGGGAAACTGAAGATCAACATGAAGAAGTACTGTAAGAAAGACTATGGTGAGTCGCCCCTCTCAGCCGCTGCTTCCCAGGGACGAGCGAGCAGTCGCAAAGGGATGCAGAGCAGGAGCATCTCCCTCCCGGGGTGTCCCCAGGCCCACCCAGCCCAGGGGCAGGTTGCCAGCTGGGTCTCAACCACAGTCGGGACCAGACAGCCCGGCTCTTCGTCGTGGCACAGCTGCCTGTGCTGGGATGTGTGCAATTTGGGGTATGGTTTTTGCAGTGTTTGGAGAGGAAGCCCTGCGTAGCGATGCTTGGTGGAGCAGCGATGCAATGTGTTACTTGGAAAATATGGGTCCTGCTGCAGATGCTTGAGACAACCCCCAAATCAGGGTCCATAGTGGCCTCGTCCCACAGTGTCTTCTGGGTTACGATGTCACCACGTTCTTTCTCTTCTCACTGTGCTGTTACATGCAGCAGCTTTTAAAAATTGTGCTTTGCTGTGAGGACAAGCAGTAGATGGTTCCTCATCATCTGGATCCATCCCCCCTGTAATTCCCAGGCAAGTTCAGAGGGTGGTGCAGCTCTGGGACAAGCCAGGGAGGCTGTGGGATCCCCATCCTTGCTGGTACTCGAGGGCCTGAGCATCCTTCTGCAGCTCCGGCTTGGAGCAGACACATCCCGAGCTCCCATCCCACCTCTCTGCTCCTGGGATTATTTTTAATGTGGCTCCATTCCCAACATGGTCACCAGTGGATTCATGCAGGAGGTGTCCAGGGTGACCCCAGGAGGGGATTTTTCTTCAGGCCACACCAAGAAACCCTTGAAGCCCTCCCTGGGGCTCAGCAGCCTCTCTCCACCCTGGCTCGGCCATTGCCTGCTGGCACTGAGCCGCTCGGGCACAGGCAGGCGGGGAGGGATGGCTCCGCTTCGGTCCTGCCTGCCCAGAGGCTCTCCCTCCTTCGCCAGCCAAGCCAATGCTGTTGGGATGAGCCAAGCATCAGGAATGGGACCCACCTTGAAAAATCCCATAGAGCTGGTTAAATACACGCGCTCTGTGCTGGGGGATGTTTAGAAATGCTGCTAAACATACGTAGGGGCTGGAAATTATCTCACCTCCCCATAGACTGTAGTGGAGGGAAGCGAAGTGTCTGCAGGAGGGACCGAACATGAGTGTTTGGGTTTGACCCAGGGATGAGGAGCGGGCTATGCGTGGGTGAGCCTGGCTTTGAGCTGAGCCTTCAAACGTGTGAGCAGCCAGGGAATTATGAGGTGCTGTGGGACAGGGTTTAGCATCCGCTGGGACTGCAGCTGCCCTGGGGTCTGCCAGCCCTTCCCCTCCACAGTAGAGGAATACATAAAATATATACATATATGTGCATATGCATGCATATGTATGTATCTCTGTGTGTGTTTACATATATGTGTATATATATATTTTTGCCAAACTACCAAGGAAAAAAACTCCCATCCCATTTGCATCAAAGCAGCCAGGAGTAGAGATACCTCCTCCCTCCTTCGAACACGCTCACCACAGCAGCTCAGCATGTCTGGGAAGTGTTGGCGAGAGCCGAACGAACTCCCGTTTAACAGCTCATCCCTGGACAAGGTGCTTCTTGGCAGGGTCGGCCGAGGGATGCTCCATGCTGGCTTCGGGCTCTGGCACCTCCCCACGAACTAAGGGGAAAGAAGACAGCTTGCAGGCAAATGTTTTATTTGCATTCCCATTTATTCTTCCATTACCCATGTGGCAAAATGGATGTGGAGATCATCCCTTGGCAAGAATGAGCTGCCAGGGCCAGGGCACGCTTGTGGTCCCCATCCAGCAAGGCCATGCTGAGGTCTGGCCATGCTTGGAGGAGCTGCTGGAGGTTCATCAGATGTTGGAAAAGTCCAAAGAATGCCTTTTCCCTTAGAGAAAAGGGTTTAATTGCATGTGAGAAAGTCACTGCTAGAACATGAGGTTATTAAAGATGGGTGTGGGGCTGAGCACCAGGCTATTAAAGCCATGGGGTTTCTCGTGGGTGGATTCTCTGTTGGCTAATAAGGTACAAACGTATTTCCTGTACATAGCACATGCATCCCTTCATTTTCCCACCTGGCTTCTCCAGCATCTCCTAAGGGCTGAGCTCACACTGGAGCATTTGCCCTCTGAAGAGGGGAGAAAGCAGCCACTTGGTTGCAGGAAATTTGGACCTGTTGTGATCCAAATTGTCCCTGGGGGTTTGGAAGGTGGTAGGGAGGAAAAAAAGGCACGTGCATCCCCTTGAAGCACACTTCCAGCCGAGCAGAGTTATCTTTCCCTGCAGCTCTCGGGGCGAGGGTTGTGACGTTTTGGTGGTGGCAATACTTGGGCTTTGCTCAAAGGGCAGCCCCAGCATGGTTTGTCTCCTTGGCTTGTCCGATCTAGCCGGGAAATGTTTCTTGGGGGTTTGGGTGAAAGCTCACACTTGGTTTTGTTTGAGGCTGTAACGTGGGCTTGCAGGCTTCAACAGACCTTGGGGAGATGAGGGCGGCTCAAGAGCTGTCTTGGGCAGGAGATACCCCTGGACCAACGAATAGGATGCTGGAAAGAGCTTTTCTTTTCACTTTTATGACGCACCATCACTTCTGCAAAAGCACAAATGAGCTAAAGTCGTTTACCAGGGCCGGTTCAGGGTGAGCGGGTGCAGGCTGTCCCAGCACGGGAACTGGGGTGCTCCCACCCGAGCCCTCCTGGCCCTGGGAGGGGGGTCCCCAACCAACCCCAACCAGCCCCACAGCTGCGGCAAATCTGCTTTTTCAAGGGCAAACCAGCCTGGCGAGGCAGCAGGGTAAGCGATGCTACAGCACAGCCTGGCCGTGCCGGGGCAGCCCAAGGCTTTCGACAAGGCCAGGGAGGGAAGAAAGGGTTGAAAAGGTGCAGGGAGGGATAATAAAGACTTTGGGACTGACACCCCAGCAGGAAGCCAATTAGGAGGCTCTTTTCCTCACCGTTACGCCGGCATCGCTGGGCTGAATGTCCTAAAAGGCCCTAATTAGCTTGAACAGAGTTACTTCTCCCGCGGGCTCAATCGGGAAGCTATCATCCGCCCCACGCTTCTCAATGGGGCTTTTTAGCTCCCCGTTTCATTCAGCGATTCAAAGGGGATATTTTCCCTTATTTATTTTTCTTATCTGTTTGTTTTTGTTGGGTTTGTGGGGTTTTTTTCTTTTTATTTTAAATTGGGCTCTTTCCCGCGAGATGGGTTTTGGTACAAATATTTGGAGTGAAACAGGGTGCGGGGAGGGGTGGCTGGGAGATTTGGGCGGGGGCAGCAGGGGCAGGCAAGAACAGAAGCAGAAAAGCTTTTTCTGGGTTTATTTTGGCTGCCTGGTGGAGTGCAGGGGTTGCTTGGCTCCCAGAAAACCAGGGGTAAGAAGAGGGGATTCGCTGGGTTTGAGGCAGTTAAAATTAGCCTGGGGAAGAAGAGGGGGGGATCCCTGCTGAGCCCCACTGAGGATGGAGATTCCTGCATGGCCCAAAAGGAGAGAGGATTATTTTATTAGCAGGTGGTGCTGGTCCAGGTGATGCAGGAGCATCCCTCACTTGCTCTGGTGCCGTGGTTTTAGCTGGATCTTTGGGGCTTTTCCCACTGTCTGTGTGGTTCATCCAAGTGGGATGGGTGGCTGCTGTAAAGGAAACCCGGAGCTTTTTAATCCCCGTTTTCCCCCGACTCTGAGCTCCCTGCACTGCAGTGGGGCCCGATCCTGCACAGATGATGCCGCAGCATTTTGCTGGGTACTGGCACTGTGGTCCCAGCCATTGCTCCAGTGCCCTCCCTGTGTCCCCGGTGCAGCATCGGGGAGGAGATGGGGGCAAGGAGCGGGATCCTCGCCTGAAAGGTGAGATCATCTGCTCACTTTGCCCTTTCTTGGAAAAAAAAAGTAAAAAAAAAAAAAAAATCCTTCCTTTCGCTGAGACTTCACTTAGTCACCCCCTTTGTCGAGAGGAGCTTTGGCAGGGGCTGGTGGAAAAAAGCAAAATGTGTTTTCAAAAGGCAGCTTGAAAAGAGAGGGGGGGGGGTTAGAAAAAACCCTGAATCCACATAAAAACCCAAGGCAGAGGGGAAGCGCCATCCCCAGCTTGTCCCCGGCTTGCAGCCCCTTCCACCACCCTGGAAGGTGGAGAAATCCTGTTCCCTGAGCGGGGAAGTGCTGAGCAATCCCTCCCAGTAACTGTGTCCTGAGGGAGCCAGCCAGGGCAATGAGGTGTCCCCCGGCACCGCGGGAAGAGACTGTGCCCGGCCAGGGCACACCTAGGCTGGCCGGGATTAGGGGTCATAAATCTCCGCTATTAAACCGGTAGGAAATTGGCAACTGGAGGCAGGCAAAGCCACCGCCAAATAAATTAAAAAAAAAAAAAAAAAGGTAGGGGGAAAATCCCATTTTAACCCTTTGCTCCAGCGAGGAGCCAGCCCTTTCCATTCCCAAACCCTAATGGTGTCAGGGTCACCTTTTGGTGCTGGCTGGAGTAAAATCCACACGGGCTCCACTCTGCTTGTGTGCAAGAAGAGACCCGAGCCTTCAGAAAGCCCCGGCTCAGGCTGGGATGCCTGCATCTGCAACCGCTGTCCCAAGGACCTGTTTTCCATCCGTCCATATTAAAGACCCTCTTGTCTTTCCCAGCAAACTGCTCTGCTCCCACTGCCTCCCCCATGGCCCCGTGGAATCTTTCCCAGAGCCAGGGCAGCGATGCTCCCCACTGCTGGAAACTCCACAGAGCTCCAGCTCCCACAGTCAGGTTAGCACAGAAGATGCATAGGTTTGCCCATGTAGTCCACTCCTAGGTCAGCTTTGGCAAGGGGAAACCTTGAAATCAGGAGATTTATCACAAACCCCAAAAGTAAAAAAAAAAAAAAAAACTTTTTTTTTTTTTTTTCCAGCCTCACTCTTTTCATGGCAATCTCATGATTTCTGGGCCCCTGACTCATGGTCTCTGAATGCTGCGAGGCGCTGCTTTTATTTAAGCCTTTACACGACTGCCCTCAAACATGTTGTTTTGAGGGTTTGGGGTTGGTTTTTGTTTTTATTAACATCACATCATCCACTCCTCTGCTTTCATCTGCAACATCAAGCCTTCAGGTCTTTCTTGTGGCTGGAGGCTCCCAGCCAAGCCTCGAGGAGCCAGGCAGCATCACAGGCCCCAGCGCTGAGTGCCGGAGGTAGCACTGCCCAGCACCCTGCGCCAGGGGATGCAGGAGGGGACCAGGGACCCCCCCATCCCCTCCCGCAGCCTGGGGACCGCTCAGCCACCGTTTCCTTAGAAAGAAGCATTACGTGGCAAGACACTTGAATGCATCACCTGGGCTGGTGTGACGTGTAAGGCACTATCCAGGCGGGATTTGTGGTTCAGCAGCTTCAGTGTCAGGTGGGATGCAGTTAATGGGGCAGCCCCATCCACTCACCAGGACCGAGCATCTTTCCCTCGGCCCCTGAGCCCCCATCCCACAGCTCTCCATGCCCATTTGGTTGACTGAGGGCTCCCTTGGGGCTGACAGGGAGCAGAGCAGGACACAGAATAGCGAACCTGGAGAAAAATCCCCAGTGCTATGGGGGTCCCTGGGGGGTGCAGCCAGCCCCAGATTGCCCGCAGGGCTCGGCTGCCCACCGTTTGCAAAGCACGGGCAGGAGTGGGCACAAGCCAGAGGCAGCCCCAAGGCACTGCCAGGATTGGGACCTGGACTGGACCCCATCCTCACTGGAAACCGGTGTCACCAGCCCTGGCTGGAGTGGCAGCGCCATGAAAGCTGCAGTTCATTTGATCTTGTCCTCCTCCGGTTCACCATCCACGCCTGGGGGACCACAGCCAGGGGAGCATCATCTCTGCTGCTCACTGGAATAACCATCATCCCCTATTACATCCTTTCATCTGGTTGCCCCATAGACACTTTTACGGCTGTTTTTCCAGGGATGCAGTGATGGACAGTCCTGAGCACAGCTCAGCCTCGGTGCACGGGTTCAGTGGATGCATCAGCAAAGTGAGAGTAGTTCACCACAGCACAGACAAAGCCAAGCTTTGCCCTAGGAAACAGCAGGTAAAGGACAACACCAAGGACCAAAACCAGCTTTGGAGTGGTGGGGCACAGCTGAGCCTCCCCCCCCCTCAAAACCATGAAGGAACTGAAACCTTCTCTTCCACGAGAAATGAGTGCCTAAATCCCTGGGGATTCACCCAGGGGAGCCAGCTTAGGTGCTTCCAAAAATTCCTCCTGACACCTCTCTGCATCTCTACACGTCTCGTGTCCCTTGGGAGATGCTGGAGACCCCACCCTACCCCCAACAGACCCAGGCAAGTCATCGCTAAACTTGGGCTCTGAAACCAGGCTCAGGGGAGACCGCGTGTCCGGGATGCAAAGTTATGGGCAGAAAACTCGCTGTCAGTGAAGGCAGCTGCGGCTGTGCCAGCCAAGCCTTCACCGAAGTTTTCACTCCTTCCACTTCATTAATAAAAGGGGAAAAAAAAAAAAAGAGACAGGGGCCTTGACATCAAAAAAATACAGACTGTGTATTTTAGAGCGGAGTTTCCTGTAACCACCTCTCTCCGGTTCCTTTTCATTCATTTTCTCCATTTTGTCAGTGTGGACCCAGGCAGGTCAAAGGTTTAAGCTTTTTTGGAAAGATTTGCTTCCAAAAAATAAAAATTGGCTAATCTTCACATTTTGTTACCTTCACACCAGACTGGGAAATACATGGTCAGAGCTTAGGGTTTTTTTTTTTTTTTTTTTTTTTTTTTTTTTAATGAAAGCATCTGGCGTCCATGACATGCTCTGAAAGAAAAAAAAAACAAACCACCATATATTTTGCAACGTGTTAAAAAGCCTTGCTGGGCTGCAGAGCCCCGCTTCCTTCCATAGCTTGAAATCAGTTTGCACATTGTGGTTTTAAAGAGAGGGTGATGCTCCTCCACCACTAATCTGGGGGGTAGAATTGGGTTGTTACAAGGCAAATGGGAGAGTTTTGCCTGGGGTTTTTTTTGAGGTTTCTTCTCCCTCTGTTAATTTATACAAGCAAGATTGGACCTGCTGAGGACTGGCCAGATGGCTGAGACTGGCAGGTGGACAGGCAGGGGGTTAAAGCTCACACAGCATGGAGGGGAAGGAGCGGGGAAGGGAAAAGCACAAAGATTTGGTCAAAAAGCACTTTGTGGTTGGACCGGACCAGCCTGCATGGAGCCACCAGCCCTTGCCTGCTCTCCCGGACAGGGCTGGCTTCACCACCCGGGTTTTTTCCTCTGTATCTGCTGGTGGGGACTCCTCATCCCACAGTCAGCAAACAAACCCAGGAGGGCTGGGTAGTCACTGCCTGGTGGAGATATTTTCCTGGAAGCCGATTTTTAGCGAGGAGGAATGTGTTCAAGCTCCCTGGAGGATCTCTGCTGACTGCTGCTCCTGTCCTCCTCTGCCATCCCTGCAGCATGATGGACTGCTGTCAGGAAGAAGCTCGCTGGCGTGGCAGGACCTGCCTCCAGGCTTGTATGTCATCTTCCTCTCCATGCTGTGGGGCCAAACACTCCCTTTCCCACATGGGTCTCCATCCTTCCCTGTGGTCTGAACCCAAGTGGACAGATGTCACCTGGGAAGGGCACAGCAGCACCCGCTGTAGGGATGGCCAGGAGACACGGATGTGGTCCAGCACGGACGGGGTGCCCAAGGAAGCAGCCGCATGGAGAAGGAGAAGGAGGAAGACAACTGGCAGTGGTCACCATTGCCTGCTCAGGGCCACCTGGGCTGCCCCACAGGACAAAACCATGGTGGCTCCAAGGGCTTCTGAAATCAGCTGTGAGCAGAGCCTTCCCATTGAGCATGCTGGTGTCCATCACCATCCCAGCTCTGCAGCACCTTTGGGGACAACCTTGTAGAGAGTTCTCTTCCATCCAGCTCATGATCCAAGCTACCTCTTCACTCTGGCCCTACGGGACCGTGGGCTGCTGCTCCTGCACGGATGCTGGTGGATGCAGGGATAATGTAATGTCTGAACCATGTTTCAGGAAAGAGCAAGGGGTGGAGTGGTGGAGGGCTGAGTCCTCACCAGGTTTTCTCAGTCCATACGGCTACAGATGGGCTACACAAAATCAGCCATGGGCTTGTAAAACATCATCATCTTGCTTATCACAGTTATCCTCCCATCTCAGTCTTGCGTTAGGAGCTTGTTATCTTTCAGTTATCTGCCAGGATACCTGGCTTGCCAGGCTGCTGTCTACCAAGATAGATATCCCCCTTGAAGCCTGATGTTGCTATTCAGTATTTACAGAGATGCTCAGCTGAGTCCACCGCACCCAGAAGCCAGGTTGGATGCTGCCACTGACCTCTCCTTATGATCACTGAGCCCTACCCTCAGTCCTTCACCTGTGCTTTTTACCAGCAACATTTTCTTCTACAGCAAGCAATGAACCATCTTGACTCAGGAACATCTCCTAGAAACATGTGAACAGCGAACCTCCCTATTTCCAAATCCTTCCATAGGTTTGAACCCCTTCAATGTCCTGCTCCAAGGCTGGGTGCTCACGGAGAGCTGCCTCCTTGCACTGGCCCCAGGCAGACATGCTGGAGACCCTGACAGGTCTTTCCTATCTCCAGATGCCAAGTGCTTGGACATACGGGCCAGTCCCAGTGTTTTGCTCCAGATTCAGGCTCATCTTCTCTTAAAAGCTGGGGTTGCCTTAGGGTCCTGGTGCAGATGCACCAAGTTGCCCATCCAGCGGGAAAGGGAGAGCAGAGGGGCTGGAGGGCTGGCCCATGCAGAAACCCATCCTCTGGATGAAGCATGTGCTGCTCTCTGGACACGTGGGTCAGGAAGAAAGCTCATCCCAGGTCCTACAGTGCAGCCTGGGGTTTTGGCACTGCCGAGAGGGACAGGCACCTCCCTGCCCTGCCCTCTGCAATGCATGCCTTGTGTGCCTGGGCTCAGGCCACCACCTGGGGCTGGAGGCACAAGCTGTCTCCGAGTTTGTCAATTTTCTCTGTGCTTGCTCCACAACCATGTCCTGGGAGATGATGGTCCTCCCCAGGACACAGGTAGGAGAATGAGGCAACCTGCTCTCCACCACTGCTTTGGGTAGCCCCGTGTCATTCCCAGGACTCCTAGCACAAGGAGTGCCATGGTTCCTCATGTACAGCTGCTCCCACCCTCCCCTCCTGGGAGTCCTGCAGCCCCCGTGGTCCTTGGGTAACCATGCCCATGATCACTGGGGACCCAGAGGGCCATCTTGGTGGTAGCAGAGCTGGAGAGCATCTCCTAAGCCTATGGTGGTCTTTTAGTATGTTTGCTGAGACCCTCTGCTGCCAGCACTGGCTACTCTTGCATGTGGTAGATGGCCTGGGGACAGAGGTAGTTTTTGTGCAACCACCACCCTTGGTTGTTGTCCCCCAGCCCGGGCTCAGGAGACAAAATCCCTTTTCCTCACTCAGGCTATTAGGTAAGACTTGAAATTCATTTTCTTCTTGCCAGCTCAAACCGTAACATCTTTTCCTCTCTTGCCTCCTCGTTTTTTTTTTTTTCCAGCTGTCCAGATCCACATCCTGAAAGCGGAAAAAAATGCCGACTGGTGGAAGTTCACGGTCAACATCATCTCCGTCTACAAACAAGGGAGCAACCGGATACGGCGAGGAGACCAGACCCTGTGGATCCACTCCAAGGACATAGCGTGCAAGTGCCCCAAAATCAAGCCCATGAAGAAGTATTTGCTGCTGGGCAACAACGAGGACTCTCCTGACCAGAGTGGCATCATTGCAGACAAAACCAGCCTGGTGATACAGTGGCGGGATACGTGGGCTCGGCGGCTCAGGAAGTTCCAGCAGCGGGAGAAGAAGGGGAAGTGTAAGAAAGCCTAAAGGAGGAGAAGGCAACGGAGCGCGCGAGAGGGAGAGACTGACTGTGCATGCTGCTTTGTGTAGAGCTGGGGCGGGCAGGGACCGGCGATGGGGATGGCGGGAGGAAAGTCACGCTGTTGGGGCGGGCTGGGAGGGATGGGAGGGACAGCAATCATGGCTGTGGGGCTGTCAGGTTTGCACCTCGTATCCTGGGAGAAAACAAAACACAACAAAAAAAAAAAATCGCACATGTGGATATAAAAGGAGTGTGGGTGCAGGCGTGTGGCACCCGGTGCCCCCCAGCTTCCTTCTGCCCCGTTGGCTGAAGAAATCGGAGACACCAAACTGCCTTCCAGCTGCTAACATCTGCTGCTTCCAAAGCACGGCACGGGAACATCAAACCTGTAAGAAACTAATCAACAACAATGCTGGAAATTAACTCCCCATCCCCCAAAATACGTATTCTCAGCTTAGGTTGAACAAGACAGTTATTGTAGAGGGAACTAAACAGAGACTTATGGCTGAGGACAGATCTGAGGATCGACTAATGGGTTATTTGAAGACTGTTTGGTATCCAATAGCCGTAACAATCACCCGCTGTACGGTACCTAGGAGTGGCTGAGGTGTCCAGCTGTGGTGATGCTCTAATCCCAGGTTAGGCACAGCAAAGAGGCAACCCCATTACTGGGCAACTTCCACGTGGGCATATCTCGGGGAGTGACTCCTTGCTCCGGCCCCCATGCCCTGAGGAGTTCTGCACCCTCCCTGCCAAAGGAGCATGAGCCACGGGATGCCCTGCCCCGCTCCCAGCCACTGATCCACAGTCGAGGAGTTAATAACCAGGATCCCCAAGGAAACATCCAGACTTTGCAAAAAAAAATAAGTTGGCATCCAGTTCCCATAGGTGCCCTGGACAATCTCGCCCATCGTAGTCCCTGGGTCTCCACTGCGGCCACCCCTGAGACCTCCTTCATGGGCTTGGTCCTCTCTGCTGCTGTCAGCAGACTGATGAACTCTCAGATGATAGAAAAGCTGTGCAGATGACATCAAGGTCCTGGCTGGCCACTGGTTTCACTCCCAAACTCAGCCAGCTCTCCCAAACATACACCACCTCTGCCCTCGCCCCCTCTGGTGCTGCAGCTCCCTGGCATCCCAGCATAAGGTGGCCAGCCTGCTTGGGAGACAAAGGAGGTGGGACAGCGAGGGCCAAGGGACTGTCCCCATGGGAAGCAGGGCCAGTGCAGAGCTCTAAGGCTTGGCCAAGTTACAACGAATGCAGGGCAGAGACCTGCCTAAGGGAAGGGGTCTCAGCCAGCGACTGGATGACCAAGGTGTGACCCACATGCAGCTCCCCAAATTACTCTCCTACTTCTGCTGGGGGTGAAAAACAGCAAATCTAAATTTCCCAATCTCTAATCACTAATGCACTAAGACAGGTAGTGGCTGCCTCATCTCTGTCTCACACCCCACGCCCCAGCCCAAGGGCTGGAGCATCTTTCCCCAGGGCACTCTATGGGCAGGACTGGCTGTGGTAGTGTTTGTCATCCAGACATTGCATCCCCACGCCAGGCTGCTCCCCTGCCACACTGGCCCACGAGGAATAGGGATATCTGAGTTCACCTAATCGATGGAGACAGGCAATAGCCAGGGTGGAAAGGCAGGGAGGGCAGGACGGGTACCTGGAGGAGAAGCAAACATTAGTCGCTACGAAAAGCAAAACCTCCCTGATATTTTTCCTTTTAGGAAACTTGGAAACATCTATTTTACGACATTTTCCAGTGGTTTTGCCTTGTTTTATAGCAATTGACAATATTTATATAATGACATAAACCACCATAAAGCAATGCAGCCATGTAAATAGGTGTAAAGTGGAGGGCTCCCAGGGAAGCACCAGCCAGCGCCGGGCTGCTGGAGACACCACCCAGAGGGAGCAAGCTCTGCTGAGCCTTCCCCTGCAACCGCAAGGCCCCTCCAAAATTAGTTTGGGTATTAGGAGAGAAATCCCACACTGGACATCAAGGAACCCACCCCTCAAGTCCATGTTTTCTCCCCTTACCCAGAGCAGACTTAGTTTTCCTTACTTCAGAGCTCAAGGAGAGCCAACAGTTTTGCAGTCAAGGGAACCCAAGCCACCAAGTTTTGAAGGATAAAATCTGACCTCAAGTGTCTAAATGGAGGCTTAAAGCCCCAAAGCGGGGGTTGGATGCTGTCCTGCAGCTAGCATCAGAGGATACCAGGGACACCCCACACCAGCTGGGGACAGCTTGTCCTCAGTTAGCTGGGATGCCCTTGAACCACGGGAGCTCTTCAAATGGCCTAAAAGCAACCGGATCCAACCCAAAGCCAGTTCTCCACTTGGAGAGCTGGAAGGCAAGGCCAGGGGATGTGGAGACTTGGGAACTGCCCACCGAGCACACCTGGACACCCAGCGCTCACTCCCATTTTCCAACCCTGGTGAGTGCAGCCATCCTCCCCAGCACAGCCTTGACACCCCCAAACCGACCCAGGGACAAGCCCCAGCCCCTTCCCCTATCCCACAGGTTTGGGAGGCTGCAGAAGAAACACCACCCACTCCGTCCCATGGCCGGACCCCTCCAGGCACCGACACAACCTGGGAAATCAGAAGGAAACAGAGTTTGCACAAGATGAAACAACTCAGAGCCCGCCACAGCCAGAGTGACCCGCAGAAGTGAAGTGCCCCACCCTTGTCCCACCAGGACCCCATACCTTGAACCCTGCTGGAGTTCTGCGCTTTCCAACGACACTAGAGAAGCCCCTTCACTCCATCCATGGTCCCCCAGTGCCCCTCGTGTGCTCCCAGTAACCTTGACCTGCAGGAGCTGCTGGTGTAGCTGGTACACAGCCCTCCTCCTCTGGAGAAGGCAGAGCAGCCCCAGTTTTGGGGTGTCTGGGGGTGCAACTCTTCCCTGCTCCAGGACATCTCCTGGGGGGACACCTCTGTCCGGTCACCCAAAGAGGGACAAGATGTCACCCCTAATCATCAACCTCCACGGCCAGGGGTGCAGCTCTGTTGGGGTACCAACCGCATCACGACCAGCGAGGAACACAGGCGCCCACCCATCGCCCTGGGGACAGGACCAAGGTCCTCGGTAGGGTGGAGGGGGGGGCTGGGCAAGGGGCTGCGGTGTCTTCAGCGTGGCTTCGGAGAGCAGCTGAAATGCCAAAACAATCATCACTCGACGGTAGCACCTGACAAAAGTCGTTTCGTCTCGTTTCTGTTCATTTCGTCGTGTCTGTGCCCTCTCCCCGCACACCCGCCTCCTCTCCCCTCACAAAACCTGTGTTCGTTTTGGGGTTGTTTTGTTTTTTTTTTTTTTATTATTTCTGTTAATATCTTGAACTGTAAATGTTGTTTAGTTATGACCATTGCATACTGCTATGGCGATGTTTCTTTACAATGCATACTAATATATTATGGTTATTATATATGAATATATTTAATGACACGTGAAAAAGTTGTGGATTTTCTTATTGTTTTTCCAAGTCGTTTCTTTTTTTTTCTTTTCTTTTTTTTTTTTTCCTCTTTGTTTGTTTCATTAGATTGGCTGTAATTGAACCCGAAGGAGCTTGTAACTGTTCAGCACCCACTCGGTAGAACTAAAGTCAGAAACCAGTTGAATAAACTCTTGTAAACTGTAAAAATCTCCAAGGATCTCTGCTTCCTCCCACCCCGCCAGCCAGCAAGCCCGAGAGATGGGGACCTGGGCAGGGAAGTGACGGTGTCCCCTCTGCTTCCCTAGGTCTCTGCCAACATCCCCTTGGCAGGGTCCGAGGTGGTGCACAGCTATTTGACTGTCAGTCCCAGCCGCATGTCCCACCAGCATCCTCCCAGCAGCGCTCCCCACCAGCGGCCACATGCCCTTGGGGACAGTGGGGTCTCTGCGGGCTCACGGTGGGTGGGATGGGGGGTCCCCACCGGCACCTCTGGGCTCCCTGCGATTGCTGTGAGTGCTGGACCCGGGTACGTCCTGCTGGGCTCCCCATCCTTCCTCTGCTGCTGGAGGGGACTGTGCCCTGCAGTGGGACAGAGCCAGGGCACGCCGAAACCTGTGAGACCCGGCACAGAGGAGGTGGACAGGCATGGGGACAGGGGACAGCCAGAGCCTGAGGACAGGGAGCTGCCAAGCCTGCTCCGGACCCATTTTCTACCCCCATGCACAGGCTGCTTGCCAGCGCCATCCCTTTCTGCCCATCCCAGGGGGTCCGGGCTCCACCGCCCATCTCCCACGGGGCATCAGTGCTGCCAGACGCTACTGAGCCAGCTGGCACTCGAGACCAGGCAAGGGCTGGTGGTACGACAAGCTAGAAAGCTGGAGGTAGGGGGAACTTAGGCAGCAAAACACTTCCAGAGGTTAAAATACAGGCAAAAGGTCCTGCAAACTGCCGCGGGGTCAGCCTGCCTGACCCACACCCTTAGCGTCGCTGGTAATTTATGAATTGGAAAACATCTCGGAGGTCAGAAATCTCAGATCTTTATTGCGGAGACAAATGGGTCACAGGTGCCACCACCTCTGCTCCAGGGCTGTCACCTACAGCCCTGCAGAGAAGCAAATGGGTTTCCCAGATCACTCTGGCTCCGTGTCCTCCTGGCTGGTGGCCTATTGTCCAAAGAAGACACGGGGGCTCTGAAAAGAGGGGGAAGAGCCTATTCCCACTGAGGGCCGGAGCTGGAGCGGTTGTTCTCAGCCTGGTCCCACCAGGCAGCGCGGGAGAGCGGCCGTCCACTGCGCTGAGCTCAGCACTGAGCTCACACCCAACCTCCAGAAATAAGGGTGTGTGAAAACGCCCAGCAGCCTTTCAAGATCATTTTTATCCTCACATAGGAGCTAGGGACTTCTTATCAAGGGCACCTGGACATGCAAGTGCCTCTAACATGTACCAGACCTTCCCCCAGCACTTGTATTTTTGATGAAATAACAACTGGAAGCAGCTAAACTCCCAAGCACGTCCTCCAAGAGAGAAATGAAGGCGATGCAAGGGAAGGTGAAGCCTGGGGTGTGTCTCCAGGCACATTCCAGGGCAACAGGGAAGACCTTTGCTTGGAGAAGCCATCGCAGGTACATGACTCCAGCAAGCCCATGGCACAGATTCAGTGGGCAGCTTGAGTATCCTTTGCCCCACGCCTGGAAATCAGAGCAACCAGCAGCACGGTGAAACCGCACCAGACCCTGGCAAGCTGGGCTCTCCAACCCCGCCTGCTCAGAGCCAAAAACCAGTGGCTCTGATATTTTAACCTTCCTTTTTCTTTGGTGGGGCAGGGAGACAGAAAAGCTTTCCACAACAGAGCAGAAGGCTGCCAAGTCCACTTTTTAATAAAACTCCTCACCCACATGACACATTAAATGTTACCTAAAGGGCAAGTCTGAGAACCCCTTTGTTAGACATTTCAGCAGAGCAAAGCCTCACGTTTCTACCTTTCCCGGGTGCTAACAGAAAAAATGTGTTTGAGGACCCAACAGATCAGAAAACTTCTTTTTAAAGCCTCTATCAGAACAAAGTCACTGTCACATTGATCAGGATGAATTACGCATCCATCCTGCGTGTCCTGGGAATTCAAACAAAACCTTAATTCCCTCCATAAACGACAGATTTAATTAGAAACCCAAGTCTGTAGTCTCCTCTTAATAAACCACGTTATTCTCCTGCTGTCACCAAAGATCCGTGGGGCTGCACTGGAGCCGTGCGTGAAATCCCTCTGCAGGGCTTGGGCACAGACTGCTGATGAGAAACAACTCCAGGAGAGTTTCCAGTGTTGGTCCCTCCACAGAACTGCAGGAATCCACAAGTTTTAAACACGTCTCCAAAGCTGCCCCTTATTTGTTTCCAGCTGGAGCAGCTTTGCTTAAAACTCCATTTCTAATCTGAGATCAAGCAATAAACTAATAAAAAACCTGTTGTGTCCTCTTGAAAACCACGAGAACGTACAACTATCTTTTTTTTTTTTTTTCACTCCCCTCCTTTGAAGGCTGTAAGATGAAGCATCTCTCCAAGGAAAAGCAAGCAAACAGGCACAACCTGGACTGAACATTTAAAGGCTTTGAGGATTTTCTCCAGCAAAGCACATGGAGATGTGCGGAAGACTCTGGTCCACCCCAGCCATCGGCATCGTTTTGTGTCCTTTGCCAGCAGAACATGGTATCTAGTCAGCCACCACAAAGCACAAGCCTGGATTTTCCACCTTTGGTAAACACCAGACGAGGATGCCGAAGCCAGCAAAGCACAGTCTGCCTTGCCCCAAGATTTTGAATCCCTCCGGAGGAGCTGGTCTGTCCTCCAGCTCCGACCTTCGGTGCCAAGCATCAGAAGATAGGTTGGGCACTGGCACAGAGCCCCATTTGAAGCTCAGTGCCCTGCACCACAAGGCACAGCTGTATCTACCGGGCTTTTTCTCCACCAGGAGCACACAGACAGGGCAATGGTGCTTTTCAGCTCCAGGGAACGGTTCCTATCATCATCAGTGATAGGTATGTATTTGGTGGGGTACTCAACAGCTCCCTGCCTCTGTTTCCTGCAAAATCCCATTTTCTCTGTCATGGCCAGCTCTGTTGTTCCCACTTAAGGTCCTGGAGTAACTGAGTCAAAGCCTCAGCCCCAGCCAACACCTGCCTGCTGCAAGGAGAAGAGCAATTTTGCACTCCGATCTGCAGATTGCCAAGCACTTAACGAAGGGACCAGTGCCCAAGTCCCAACAGGTAGTTGGGAAACAGCCCAGAAGAGCAAAATGGCTTTGTGTCACTCAAGAGGGGACGCAGCACCGGGACACCCTGGTTTCCCACCTCCCAGACCAGCGCTAGACCTGCTAGACATGCCACCACCCCAGCTGTGCGGGTGGAGAGCAGGGAGAGGGAAACGAGTGCCAAGAACCCGTTAAGAGCTGTGAAAGGAGATACTCCACCACCATAGGTGAGGACTAGCCCAGGGCTGGCAAGTGTTACGGATCTGCCAGGAAATGTACGTCATGATACACAGGAAGTCTGACAGGAATTGCTTTTTTCCTTCTCCAAATCAGCTCTCAGGAAATGGAAGAGTTGGAGAATCATTCAAGTGGAACACGAGACGGTAGGAAACAATAAAAAACTGAGGCAGATAAGTTGTATATAAATGGATCGGCTTTTATTCAATATTTATTGCTTGCTCTGTCCATTCTGAAATCAAACTGGTATGTATAACAAAATAATTATTTTTTGGCCAGTTGTGTCAAGCGAACGTTGAAACAAACATTCAATACTTCTTTTTCATTAGTTTTTAAATAGGTAATCCTTCCTCTCAGTTTTAACAGCGTGTGAAAAGTTATAAAAGAAAGAGGCAGACCTCGATCGCCGAGATTAGTACATTAATGCCAGCGCATCACCTGCGTTCAGCCTGGCAGAGCACGGCCGAGCATGTGGAGAGCGCACCTTTCTCATGAGCACGTGTTGGACAAGGTTTTCCACTCTTACGCACCTGGTTTGAGACCTGCTGCTGTTTACATTTCTATCCGTGGAGATCAACAGCGATAACTCTCCCTGACAGGCCAAGGACTGACTCACTCGCCAGAGTTTCTGTGCAGCTCATGGGGGTCCTGCGTCTCTCCGCAGGGCTCCGCGTGCTCTCGCTTCCCATCCTACGAGCATCCAGATGCAGTCATTCCCCAAAACATATATTCCTCAAAAAATGCAAGCATTTTCATTCCAAAGAAAGGTATCAGAAAGCAGAGGAGTGCTACCGCTGTACTTGAAAACCACACCTTTATTTTAGTATTTTAAAGCCCTCGGGACAACTGACCGCTCAGCAGAAGCGGCAGCGGGCTGGGCAGGCAGCACCCCGACACCAGCGTGTGCTCAGACACAGATGCGCTGAGAAGTGAATCTATTGTACAGCCAGCTGCAGCCTCCCGAACGCCAAATGAAGGTGGGAAGAGAGTCCTTTTCAAGTTCAAACCCTCCACGCAGCACTCTTCAGCTGTGCACTGAAGGAAGAACGGATGTCTGTCGGACACAGCTTCATTCTCATACTGTTGAGTTTATTTAAAACACAGAAGGTTTTTGCACAAAGTCGGTCTCTTCTCTGGAGTCCTCCGTGCTCAGCTGTCGAGCAGCAGCTCCGACGGGCCCCATATCCGCATTACTGTGTCGGCCAGACAGCAACCACAGCAATCGCAATCAGCAGCAACACAATCACCACCAGCATTCCTGCAAAAGATGAAACGACGTTAAGGTTGCTGCCTTCATCTTTTACAATTGGTCTTTTGCAATTAAATTCTTCCTCTGAGTCCTGCTCCTCCTCCCAGCTGAGACAGATTTTCCCCCATGCTTACCCCGTACAAGCCCCTCACCAGATCCCTGCATGCTGATGACCTGAACAGCAACATGGACACAAAGCCCACGTTGGTAGAGCAGCTCTTTCTCTTTCTGACCCTTCAAATTAATTTTTTTTTAACTGTGCCTGCAGGGTATCTTCCTACTTAAACATCTGCCCTGCAAAGATTAAGGGATATGTTTATCTCATGGCAAGGCCAGTTAAGCTTTTCTAGAATCCCCCTGTACCATCCCATTGGGGCAAAGGATTATTCAGAAGGAAATCCAAATTGCATCAGGAAATTGTTTCCAACATAAAGTACTCCTGCTTTCAGACAAAAAACTATTTGCAGAGCAAAAGCAGGGCTTTCAGGTATGTTCCTGACTTGGGAAAATGAAGATCAACCAGCATTAAAGAGAGTGTAACAGTGCTCTGCCCAACCGTGCAGCACACGGGCTCCGTGTGCTCCATCCTGCCCAAAACCATACCGGTTGCTACCAGTTGCAGAAGTTAATGACTAATATGATCTTACAAAACTTCACGACTACTTTTTAGTTTGGGCACACCATGCTGCTCTGAAGAAGGACAGCGTTAAAAAAGTGTAAGTTATGGATCGTTTTGAAGAATGATCCAGAAAACCAGCAAAGCAGATTTTTTCTCTCTTGACTAAACAACAGCAATAAGGTGACACAGCTGTCAGATGCCTGCTAGAGGAAACTAATTCTCCTCAGTTCCCCCTTTCTTAGAGGGAACTCTCCCCTTTCTCTCCCCTTTCTTAGAGAGGAAGAAATGCTTTACTGAAAATGGACTGGATCCCTGCAGTCCACCCCATCATCTCCCTCAGCAGCCCCAACACGTGAACTCCTCACACAGCCGGCTGGACTACTGCCCGCTTCAGGCACTGGCATCACACACACAGGCATCCCCTGAGGTTAAACGATCTTTTAATTAGGAGGCTTTTGTTTTGGTTTAGTATCTGCTCCACGCTATCCCCCTGTCAGAGCTGTGGGAATATGTTAGGGCTCCAAAAGCGGAAAAAATGTCCCTTCATTTGGTCTGCTCACAGATGACTATTACTCAACCACTTACAATATTTACAAGTCCAGCTCATGGCAATTAAAAAAGGATGTATTAAAATAAACTCCTCTTTCCAAGCTGGAAAAGGATATTAGACATTGCTTTTTGTAAATAGTGTCATGTTTTCTGTGCAGAAACTGTTTTTCTGCCAGGGGTCCAGGATTTTTTTCCAGGGAAATAAGAGTTGCCACCAGCAGTATTTTTTTCTTTTATGCTCAGTTAAAACCATTTGTTATCTGAAGTGAGCTTGAGCAGCGCTTCACTGCACTGGCTCAAGCAGCTCTTAGATATTGAGCCTTTCTTTTCCTTGTAGGAACAGCTGACTGCAAACAGAGACGGCAGCAGCTCCGTACCCTCCACCCGGGATGCCCAAGGACTGCGGCAGGACTCGGCACTGCGGTGGGGTGTGGGGACAAGCTCTTTGGCTAGGCAGGGACAAGTCCTTTAAGCTGAGTGGTGTATAGTTACTGCATGCTTTGGGGTAGGATGATTTGGGGGGGGGGGGGGTTTAGAGCTTCAGGCTAAACCTGGATGAAACTGCTTATTAATCACATTAAGCAGAATAAACTAGTAAAAATGCATCTGTCTGTTCCTGCCGCTCTCTTTGCACACCTAGCAAGGGCTTGAGTTTGGCTCTGACACCAGAAGCCGCCAGGACTGTGCTTCACAACGCTGCCTTTTCAGCTAAAGACCACCGTGCTTGCACCCAGCCCTGGCAGGCGCAGGGCAGCCAGGGTCCGTGCCAGGGCACCCACGAAACCAGGTTTGTCCCAGAGGATGCTCCCACCGCTGGGCTCCTGCAGAACCTAGCCGAGCTCCAGATCCTCATCCCAGGTCAGTGTCTATCAACCACATTTGACGCAGCTGGATCTCGGACCATACACGGGCTACTTGCTCTGACCCACTGGAATGGGTGAGAGAGGGGTATTGTTCAGTTTTCAACCTCAGCCAACCACCCCACGTCATCCAGCAACACAAACTGTTAGATTAATCCATTGGGAACACGATCTATACTTTTACCATCTTTCTAGTTTTGCGCTTTTTACATCTTAATATACATTTTGTAGTCTTCAACAGAGCCAGAAGAAAATAATTTGCTTAAACTGGGAAGAAATAAGATCTGATAAAGCTGCCGCATTCAGATTCTCTGTTATGTTTCGCACTGGAGGGAGAAGTTTTAGAGGGTGCAAATCCTTAGCACAGTTTCAGTGTAACAGAGTTTATGGACTTCAGCAATTAAGAGACAACAGAGATCACTTGCTTGGAAAATACTCTATAGGTGTGAATTAGTAATGATACAAAGTGGAGTTAATGGGGCGTAATTATTCTTTGACAACTCCCAAGAAAAACTGCACATAAACCTAGAATTATGACACAGCAGGAAGAGGGGAAGGTGGGGGACTAATAAAGTATTGCTAACGGGCAATAGCAGAATGAATAGGAAACTTTAGAGGACTTTCAGGGCAACAAGAGTGGGACAGCAAAATTAAATAAACTTCATTTTATCCCTGGAAAGAGACTGGTATTAAAAACCTGGAGCCACTTTTCTGTTTCCAAAAGCAGTGGTCAAGTACTTACTCCCCATGTGAGAGACAGAGAAGCAGAGATGGCACGTGTCGGTGCAATATAAATCAGCAATCCGCTAGTATTAAAGGCTTATCTGATCCGTGCGATATGCGCAAAAAGAACAGGATGACATAAATTGGCAATAGCACACAAATTTCAAAGTACCTCTTGCATGATAGAGACCAGATGTTACGCACATTTCCCCCCCGCCCATACTACAGAATAGCAGATTAGAAGGATCTGAAGCTTTTAAACCTGGGTGTTTCACAGAGTACAACATGCTTTCCTAACAAAAACTATGGATAGGATCTGACAGTAATTATGCACTCTAGATTCCCTGCCTGCTTTGCCTTTTTTTGCTCAAGTCCTATGAAGTATAAATATTCCCCTCGACAAGAACTCCTCAAAGAGAAGTTCAGGAATCAAAGCCACTAACAAAGTAAACAGGATTCAGAGAAGAAAAAATAAAAGATTCCTGCACAAAAGAAAACAGTGACAGGAATACAAATTTGAAATGCATTTCTCAGGGAAAGGTAGGAAGTGAAAGCAGAAGTCTATGTGCAATTACCAACCAATTAATTAAGGCAGGTTGGAGAAAGTGCAATGCTCTTGAAACTCCATCTGCTAAAGAGTCTGAGATGGTGCTGCTGTTCCAGCTCGGAGGAGCAGTGCAGAAATGCAGAGGGCACATTCTCAGCTTATGCCGAGTTTCAGGGCATGGTGTGCCAGCAGGACACAGGGTCTCCCTGCCATTCCCAGAAACGCTGGCACTCACCCTGCTTTGCCGGGTTTTAATCTTACGGCTGAGATCAGCCATGCCTCTGCTTGTCACCCCGATCCTGACCCCCCCCATCCCTGGGCAGCAGGGGGGTTCAAAACGCCAAACCTAGCAAAGCCTTCTCCAAAAAAAAAAGTTCAAGATCAAATTTTCATATATAAGATGGAAAGAAAAGGTTACAACATACATAACTTACTCTAGATTAAGATCGCTCTTCAGTCTGTCTTACCCGCTCTCTGTCCAGCCGTGAGACCGGAGGACCTGGGGTTCACACCATACCCCAACTTCCTGGGGTCACCTGGGGCAGCCCTTCTCCAAGCCCCAAATCTATTCCCTCTCCCCAGGATTTATCAGCTTTGAGGGTCACGGGTTTGGGGTTCATCACAGACACCCTTCCCACCGTAGCTGACTTACTCCTATACAAACAACTTCCCAGCTGGGGTTCACATGGAAATGCAAATAATTCCTTCAGGTCTGAATCTCCCTGAAGTGGTTTGGGCATCTAGAAGATGATCCTCCACCCCCAGTTTGCACCTCAGGTTAATGATCTGTGTAAATACAGGTGACGGCTGAGGACTCTTATTGCCTTGCGCCTCTTCAGCCAGATAGTAACTACCCTTGCCTGGTTGGGACTGTGTAACTCAAGGGTGTAAGTTCTCATTAGAAATAAGGTCCCACTTAAAGCCCACTCTCTGGTGCACTGCCAGCTGTCCTCAGCGATGACAAACACCAGTCACACAGCTGACAAGTCCAATAAATCATTTCATTTCCCTCTCTTCATCCCAACCTCTGCTGTTTTCCCATCGCAGAGACCCCAGACGTGGCTTGGAGCCGCACCACGCTGAGCACCGTGCAAACCCGGGATACAGCACATCCCTGCCCTCAAGAGCATCCCTCTCCTCTCCGTACAGAGCCCACGCTACAGGCGCTGCATGCGTGTTACAGCCTACACTGCACTGCCGAAATCCTGGATGTGCTGCAGAGCTGCGAGAGGACAGAGAATAATTAACATTTCTGGTTTGTAACTTCACGCAAGTGCAGGGCGCCGTGTACTAAATAAGCTTATTTGCCTCAAATATCTGTTATGAATCACAAATAACGCTGATGAATTGGTTTCCTCGGAGAAGAGCGGATACCTACCATCAGCCAGCAGCCGGCTTTTGTGTTTGTGATTAATCATCAAGACTTTCCAATTCCTTCTGCTGACTGTTCAGATGGAGACAGCTGAGACTCAATGATCTGCTGTTTTCTTTAAAGCATTTTAAATTCCTAATGCTAACGACGGCTGGAGCCCGGCAGAAATTTCTGCTCACGAGCCCCGCCACCGATGGAGAGACGAGCCCTCGCAGCACCCATACAAAGCGGCCAATTGTTGCTTGTCAACTGGGTGCTTATGCCAGCTTTCTGACAAGGCAATATTTACTGTGAAATATCCACTTATTGTGCTGAATATAACTCCTGGGAATCTGAGTG